AAAGAAGCCAAGGAACGGCCGGGAATTGAACCCGGGCCTCCTGATTGCCGGTCAGGTGTGCTACCTTTACACCACCGAACCAAGGACATTCAGTCGAGCCTCTCGATGCCATCCTCATCCGTCACAATATGTAAGAGGAAATCCTGTTGCTTTAATGAGAGAAAATTAGCTCCAGAAAAAGGAAAACATTTTACTTCTTCTGGTCCATGCATTCATGCAAAAAGCAAGCAATCACTACTATGAATGCAAAAGAGAATGGGATGAGAAGATACATCTATTCCACAACATTTACATATGTCATAATGAGAGGTCTGCAAGGCAAACTGACGCAATTTCACAAATGGCGTCTCGGGGAGTAGAGAGATGACAGTTTTGGCCTCATCATTTAATATATTCTGTGGGGAGGAGAATGGCGGAAATTTGACGTTTTTGTGACCAAGGGTTGGGGAGATACAGATTTTCAGAGGCATGCAAATCGTGACCTTTGGCCACGGTTAGGTGCTTAACCTGAGTGCCAAAAAGTGGCTCCAAGGCCCTCCCATGGAGTCTGTTGCAATAGTTAAAAGCCAGAATTTGATTCTAGGGGGTCGATTTTCATCTTCCCTTAGTACCTCAATCTGGCCATTTTCAAGCACTCTATCAACATCTTCCCGTACAAGGACCTACTACTAGCGTTTCCCGATATGCGTACAGGGTGTCCACTTCCTATGGGAGTCGTATCAGCGTGGCCAAAAACTGGGAGGTTTACATTATGTGCTCGTAAGTACTTCTGGAAGCCCCAGGCGTGCCAACACCACGGACGTGCTTTTAGCCATGTTCATTCACAAGTTTTCAGGGCGAATCCACGCATTCCACCCCAAATAAATAGAGGAACCGGCATACTAGTTTCGGCTTTATTCGGAATACGCTCCTCCAGCAAGACAAAGACAACCGATCGACAAACTGGATCCACAAACAAAAAAAAATACTCCAACCGCACAAATTTGTTATGTACAAAAAAAAAACAAGCTGGATCGACGACTGAATTCGAGTAGCACAATTCCCCACTCCCAAGTGCATTGAGGAAACAGCAACGGCATCGGTCGTATTCCCTCTGGGACTCCAGCGTTTCTTCGTCTCGCTGCAACATCGACTGCCCTGGAATGCACACCATGTTCGGCACCTCGGATTCACCTCTTTTTATTCCTCTTCCTTCCACAGGTCACAGAAAAAATTCTCGGTACAGATCAGACGATCTCTCTCTTTTTAAATGACACCAAATAAACATGGAACTCGTTAGAATCGTCCGTGCAAAAGCGAAGCTTCCGTTTCTTGGGACCGGTGTCGAATCGTGGAAGACGCCAGACGTTCCAGACACTCCACGAGAGCGGCGAACTTACTCAGCACGCAGTAGCATCGGATGAGATCAGGCCCGGTTTTTGCTTGGATTTTGCACAGATGCCCTTTACGAGAGGGCAACTTGTAACGTGGGGGGGAAATTTGAACCCTGGAATGGCCTGCCCTCTTTCCTCGGCAGAATCATCCACCAAAGTAGATGGCACGCGGAGTAGAAAAAAAAAAGAGTAAAGGGAGGAGACACACTACGAGGCAAGTATCACAAGAAACAGAAAATGCATCCCCGCTCTGCCGAACACACTAGATTCAGGCAATCACTGTCACTGAGGTTTGCAACCGAAAACATATTCAAATCGGAACCGTGAAAAAGAGAAAAGACGGAGAGAAACAAAAAAAAGTGTGAGCAAAAAGAATCATTTGAGGAGTGTCAACTTGATGGAACCAGGAGGGAAGAAGAGTTGTGTGGGGTCTGGAGTGCGAATGTCTTGGAGCTCCTCGCTGGGCAAACGACGCTGCTGCAAAACAAATCGACATCTGCTCACCTTCCTTCGTTTACTTTCATGCATCCATGCTCCATAACGTAAGGTATTTATAAGAGAACTAAGGCTTCTGACATGAACTGGAAGACACTGGTCACTGTAAGTCTTGCAAGAAGTTCCAAATCCTGTATGAGGAATGAGGATTGCCATTCATCAAAAGCAATGGAGGGGCTCAGAAGCGAATCAAGTGTCCATGCATAACTTTTTTTGAGAAAAGTGGAATACAAACTTCCAAATGGAAAGGAAAAAAAGGTGCAGCCACTTAACGTTACTCGGGCACCTTTCCATGCTGTTTTTTTTTTTTTATCTGAATGCCTTTCTCTGTGGCAATCTGCACTATTTGATGACTTCGGGCTTGAAAGCAGTTTTGGATGACATTTGCTTTGCTCTTAACCCCCTCATTCATTCAAATGACAATTATTAGCTTTGTGCACAAACTTGTGGGAAGAAGCAGCAATTATGGTGCAAGGATGATAGGGAGAATACATGCTTCCATCAACTCGGATGAACAATAGAACAGAATATAATAACCATTGACACTTCTAAAAAGAATCATCCTCTACTGGAGACAATGTAATCTGGAGGAATCCGCTTTTGCTCATACTGTCATAGCTTTGGGACTATTGTATTCTTTGACATAAGGGAGAGAATCAATATTGAATTACTTTCAATTCATCTGGTCTAATGCAAAGATTGAAAATGATGTGTGACATACTTTCTATCTCAAGAACAAAGGTACTTAGTGTTTCCAGCCATCAGTTCTGCATTTACTCACAATTTCACTTGGGTGAAGTACAGTATCATCTGTAGTTTTTTAAATATTAATTTAAAATACAAATTAAATCTTATTAAAAAAATAATAAAGCTAAGTCAGTTTTTCCTATCCTACTTCAATATATTAAAACATGAACTAGCATGAACTAGCTTGTTTGAGTAAGAATTCATAAGATTTATGAATAATTGATCTTAAATGCATATTTATTGCATATTGGCCCAGTGGTAATAGTGATTAAATAGGGAATTAGACAATCAAAATCCCATGTAGGGGTACCAAAAGAAGATGGCAGTGTGAAAAGTGTATGTTTAATAGATAATTTTGGATTTGCAGCAACCAAAATAGCAAGTACCTAGTCATTCACTCCAGCCTTACCAACATAATATACAAAAGGACTAGTTTTTATAGCCTATTCTAATAGCAATTTAATGAACTTTTCATGTTTCAGATTTCAGTGATTCTGCAATATTGCTGAATGGTTAACAGAAGGTGTGATATGGTGACCACATCCATGCTACAATATTTCAAGAGGCTCAGGATGAAAGGGAATAGTCTACTTCAAAATGTTATGAGACCAAACATTTCATCTGAATATTCATGAAAGTGAACTGGCACAAGAACATTGCTGCAGCTGCACCACCTTTTGAAAATGGCCTCCCAACTTTGTGATACAAAGAAAGTGCTAGGGTCAAAAAACTCCAAAAATGTGATATCTTGGATGTGGTCAAAATGCTGCATGTTCTTAGAATTATTCAGCTTAGAATACTGTATGATTGCTTTTGGTTCTGCTAGGTCACCCAAGTCAGTTCATATCTCTCACAGCAGGGGTGTCATAGGAAAGAGGATTGTTATTCTCTATCCTTCACACTGGATTTAGAAACTGATAGGACCCCATTGCACTTCTCCTCACAGGAGTGAAACCATTTTCTCTCTAGTATTCAAATTCAAAAATATTATAAATTTGAAAAGGCAATTATGAAAAATGTTTGATAATAAAGTGCCAAACATGTCGAGCAGCAACAATAAGTCTGTGAATTTCCTAAATATCAAAGGAAAAAGTCTACAATGTGATAAAAGGCTGCTGAGGCCTTTTTTGCTAGAGTTCATAAGCAGGAGGAATGTCCCCATGGCATATGTGCCTAATGGAAAGGAAAAAAGAAGGCAGGTTGCATTCTTGTTCAACAGACAGTGCTCCTCTACTCTTATTCAGTATGTGGAGTATAACAGCTTTGTCATAATTAGAACTTAGTGCATAAGTTGGTCAGCTAATCTGGAAAATAATCAAAGCAGGCAGTTGAACTACAGGAAGACAATTCTCGCTGTTACAGATTCTAACGGCTTGTCATGTACACAATTTCCAACAGAGAGCCTTTAGAGACACATTTCCAGAAAGCTTGTCTCATGCAGTTTTGCTCTGTTTCATTGCAGATTTGTTAACATGTGAGGTCAATATTTGCTAAAGCAAAGAGTGTGGATAGTGACTAAATTCATGGAGACGAGGTCAAACTGTGGGAATGCCGAAATCAAAATGGAGGGCATCTTGAACAGATTTTAGCATAATTTCAGTATAATTTGTATAAAATTTTTTATATCCATAAAACTGCAGAGCTTTAGCCTTAAATTAAGGAATTACTCATTAAAATCAGTAGTCAATTATAAAAATGAGCACTTATGAAAATTGTCACCCTGTATCTAGATAATTAAACAGCTTGCCCAGTGGAAAACCTTGGTGGAGATGATCAGGAATAATGCAGCTAATCACCACAGAGATGTTGCATGTCATTTATGAAAATTATTGTGATAACACTGTCAAGAAAGAGTCAAAGTTATTTCACACATTCACAAAATAGGCAAATTATATGCTGGCCATGTGCTTTGGACCCACTTTTGCTGTCTTATCATGCTATCCTCACTATAAAAACTAAAGAATACTGTCATTCCATTGTAGCAAGGCTGGAGTGAACGAAAAGGACAGCAGGGATGTGTCTGATCTTATTAAAATCAATTTCTAGGTTCAGATTCCCACAAAGAAGTCACTTCTCAAGATACAGATTGGATTTAGATCTCTTCTCTCCTATCCTTATATTCTAAAAAAATTTTTTATTTCTTTCACTCCCTGGTACTTTCAAGACATCGATTTTGCTAAAGGATGACCTTCAATTCTCCATAAGCAAAGGAAGCACAGTGCACAAGCTAAGCTAAAACTAAGAATAAGAGAAAAGAGAGACAGAGAAAAGAACCTCTTCAGGCTGAAGCAAAGACTCTGTGATATGTGTGTTCAGTGCCTTCTACAGACAGTTCACTTGACAAGTTTTTGAGAAAAAAAAAGAACTCAGATAAAAAAAATACAGCAATCAGACTCATCTCTGATGTCCAGTACAGGATTGGGTTTGCCTTATTTGCTGAATCAATACACATCTACACTGGCAATGAAGTAATAATTCAGTTACATAAAATACATATTTTGCTATTCTTAGTAATCCAGTCCTACCACACTCCAGCTCCATACAAGCATATACATGCATAAGAAAAGAGGCAATTTGTTAAGTATTAGTGAGGATAACAATAATTTAGCAGTCACTAGTTCTCAAAGAATATCATAGCATTTGGAGAAATATTTTCAATTTTTCATGTAGCCACAAGAAAGCATGGCTTTGCCCTCATTTGAGGGCAAAGCAAGAATGGACAGCCAAGGTTGGTTAGGTGAAATGCACATTGCATTTAATGTATAATGTAAGCAGACAGAAAGTAGCCTGTTTTACCAGCAAAGACACTAACCTGTCTAAAAGTGAGCGGGGGTGGGGGATTGGACATGCTGGAGTACGGAGAGCAGGTCTGGCCATATAATGGAGGAAGATGGTGCATAGAAGAGGAAGGAGGGGGATGCAGGTGAGGGGCACACTGACATCAAAAGTGGGCCACACAGGCAAGAGCATAAAGAAAGAAAGAGAGAAAAAAAAAGCAGAGCATTCAATAATATGCATGCCAGAAGAGGCTTACCTGCCACAATGCACTTGTTACCTAGTCACAGGTCATAGAGGGGCACTCAATTTCGCTTCAGGATTCGTCTACAAATGAAGACAAAGGGGAACACAGAGGGGGAGGGGGAAGAGAAAGACAGAGTGGAGATTCTGATGTTCCTTCATCTTGTTAAAATTCAGAACTTGGACAAATGATAGGTTCTGTACTTGAAACCTCAGCCAATGCCCGATGATGAAATAGGTTATTAAGAGAGTCACCCCAAAAGTAATGTCTCCAATTCTGTCTACCACAAACACAAGCTCAAAAATAGACATGCAGACACTTCCAAATGTCCTCCCGTTCCTCATAAAGTTTTGATTCCTACTCAAAAGCTCTGCAAGTGTGGTGATTCACAATGGTGGCATACGATACTGCCCATCACAAATATAGAGTTGCAATTGTTTCATCTTAGATTGTGACAATCAAAATCACACACCAACATTTAGAAATGCCAGTGGCAAAACTTTCTGGGTGGGACTTGCAAAGCTTTACAAAAAATGGGAGGAAATAAAGCATCTGCGTATATGTACTTTTGAGTTTGTGCCCCCAGAAGTTAAAGGCAAACAAAATTGGAGGCATTACATATGGAGTGAACCTTGTAGTATATTTTAAATATTTGAATATTCCATCCCACCATTTTTAACATGATTTTAATGGCCTTAGCTATAATGACACATTTATGCAAAATAAATTGAAACATGACACAAGTCACATTAATAGAAACTAGCAGAATTAGAAGAATAAATTTTGCATAGTATTTGGATAAAGTCAATGAATTTATTGCTTTATGACTAAAGATTACAAATAAAATGCAGGGGCTCTGGGGAGGGACTCACCTCTCTGATAGGTGGACAAGGGTTGGGTGAAGGGGAGTGGGAGGGAGAAGGGAATGAGGGAGGCTTTTCCCCCGTTTCAGGGAGCCTCAATGTCGAAAGTTGGGCTGGAGGTGGCTGTTGTTGCTGGGATGAGGGAGGCTGAAGTTCCATATCTTCAGAGCTCATGGGTGTACTACCTGGCCCAACTGGAATGGAATCCACTGACATTCCAGAACTTGAGTCATCCACATTCCCACTATTTGAGTCCTCGCTCTGACAATATTCGGGTAATGAGCAAATAACACATCAGAGGAACCAAAACAATGAAAAATCATTAATTGTAAGAAGAGCCTTAACAAAATATGCCAGACTCTTTTATGGACTACTCAATGCCTTACATGTGGTGATAAGGAGAAGAGGTCAGGTGACCCAGAGAGCGTGGGCTGATCCTTCATTCGAACCTTCTTGTTCCATGGATCAGATGCGGTGGGGATAAAAGGCCTCTTTTTAGAGACATGTAACAATGTGACATCACTTTGCACCCCAATGGGTGAGACAAAAGCCCCATTTGCAGTGGGAATTCCTACAGCCCCAGTTCCTGTTGAGCTGACTACGCCTTGAGATGACTGAAATAGGAATAGAACATGAATCCGAAGATGAAACAATAGTTTGTCATAATGTGAGTCCATCTTGCGTGATAATAGAGAAAATTGAAGAGAAGTAAAGGTGAGGAGGTGTCAGCACCATGCAAGTGAAAGCAAATCAAAAATATATTTTATCATTATTGGGATATAATACATACGTCTGAGAGTAAAGAAGACCTAAAGAGTAAAGGGAGGAGGACAGGAAGATTGAAAGAAAGAAGCTAACAAGAGGGATCGGTACCTGGTTAGAGGGATTTTGTGAGGGTGTAGGTGGAACAGATGAAGAGGAAGCAAAAGATTGACTGGGACCAGGGCATTCAGATGGGTTATGGATCCCATGTCCCTTTCCCGAAGAATCAGAATCTGGAGTGCCAGTGCTGCAGTTCATTACGAAGTTATTTTTTGGAGGGCTCTGGCTCTCCTAAATCCAGCACCGGCAGAGAGAAAGAGAATAAACAGCAGTGATAGAACAGATTTCATTTTAAGTTATCCACTTGTGGAATAAACAAGAAAGGCAAGGAATAAAACAATAACCTATGATTTGACATACAACTGAAAATCTGATTACATACAAAAAAAACATCTGGAACACTTTCCATAAAACTTTTCTCAAGAATACTCAAGGGATCAAGTCACACTCATCACATGGCATCACCGGATGTGTGAAAGTTTCTGGCAAAGTTATTCAGCAAAAGAGAAATATTTATTCACATCCCCAAACATTAACATTCCTTCTCAGAACTACTTTTCTTAGAAGCAAGATTAAAGAAGGAACTAACCTGACTCAGGTAGGAAATAGATGTTTTTCAGAATAATTAAGATAATAAACTTTCATAACACTTTGGAAATTAAAATAAAGAATGTATTTGAATCATTACCAATTTTATACTAGCAGTATAACTACCATTATGCAGGAGGATGAAATACTCAAATATTAATAGTTATATTTAAAAAAAAAACCAATTCATTTTGCAATAATTACTATGTAGAGAATGAAACCAAAATAAAAATGATTTATATATCCAAAGTTAACCAATAATAAAGGAAAGATTTAGGATTACCAGTTATAAGTAGTGCTTGCACAATAAAGAAAAGCAGGAAAACTCTACATTCATTGTTAGAAAATTTGCAGGATTCCTTACAACCGTCACCTTGAAGTTTCCATGCATTCTTGAAAGAAACACTTCAGTGAGTGACATGCACCTTTCATTAAAAAAAATAACACTCACCATTCTCTTGTGTTTGTTAAGGATGTCTGAAGATAGATACTGGTTTAGTTGTTTTCTGAAACAGAAAGGCAACCAAAAAAATTTTTTACATATTTTAAATCTCCTGAAGCAGAAGTGAATAAAAAAATGTCTGCTTTTTAAAGTTAACCCTTTGAAAAGTGTTTTTTTTTAAACCTCCAGAAGATCACCTGTAGTGAATACATGGAGGACAGGAGGATGTCAGCCCATATATATATACGGGCATATTCGTCAAAGGGATAATAGAAAATAAATTTAAAACGTCCACTTGCAACAACCAACTTTAACGTTCCCCGAAGGTTTATGATAAGAACCACAAACCAATAAGTTTTCATTCCAAAGACTCTCAAATCATATTTTAATTTTTAGCTTAAAAGCACCACCCATGAACCCAATTAAAATAAATATAAAAAAAAAAACACTTTTTAGTGCGAAGAAAAAATATTATAAATGAAATTAGGAATTCAAGGCAGCAGATGTATTGATATGTACCATGAAAACCTGTAGCCTTAATGAGAGAAAATTAGTGTACAGAAATATTAAAACCCATTTTACATCTTTAGGCCCATGACTGCCCATGCACACATGAAGTGCAAGCAATCACTACTATGAATGCAAAAGAGAATGGGATGGGAAGAAAAATACATATAATCCACAACATTTACATCTATCATCATGAGTAGTCTGCAAGACAAACTGATTGGAAGGCCCTTTATATAGGATGCAATGAGATTCCATAAGATAAGAAGAGCTTCTCACCTCTTCACATATTTGGCATCGATGTTCATGCCCTCTTTCCATACATTTGTGGAGACAGCAGGCATCATCACTGTTATACAAAAAATGAAATTAATACCATGCAATGGGGCAGCAAAACTCCCAATGTCTGACAGGATTCAGTAACTTCAACTGCATAGGTCAGGTTCACTCAATTATTAGCTACTACATATAATCAGTTCCAAACTTGGTTTACAGTTAACAAGTGCTCACCAGCATCAGTGAAGCTCCGAATGTCAAAAGTCAGGTCAATGTTGAGGTTGTCAGTCTTAGCGAATCCAAGTCCTATGAACCACATGCACTTCAGTTTCTCCCTGTGGAAAGTGTACAACCAAAGCTCATTCACTGTCCGCAAACAACGAAGAGGTACTCGAGGAATGAACATCTCACTCTTTGGGATCCAAAGGTGGGAAGCTCTCTGGGTTTGCATGCACCCTCTCAATGTGAGGGTTCCTTTCCAGAATCATAATAAGATGCCTAATTTTGGACTCAACAAGACCATACCACTCCAATTGGTCCTCTGCAGTGGCTGCTGATGCTATTAGCACTATGAAGTGTCTGTAGATGAAAGGACAACAGCAGAAACACATCAAACACTCTCTCAGACATCATTGCTAATCTTGCTTACATCTTGTGAGTGAAGCCTAGCTTGGAAATTACAATTTTCATTTCAATTTTCCATACCCAGATGCACAATATGACTTACTTGTACTTGCCAAAGAAGTTTGGGGGTTCAAAGAGCTTGTGCCAGATTGTTTTGCCAAGCATGATCTCATCTGTGATCTCCAAGCCCTTCTTGAATTCTTCTTGCATGATGGCACGTGTAGGCAGGGACACATTGAAAGTGGAATTCTGTTGTGGATATGCTGGGGTGATGATAGGCATCAGGTGATACCGATCTGATACATTCACCTGTCATAAATTATGTCCTTGTGATTAAATGTTGCTGAATACTTCATTGTATACAAACAGGAAATTCAAGACAATTTCCTCCTCACCCGTGGGTCCCAGACAGGGAAGCCAAGGTTGCAGTTTTCTGGCTGTTTCAAAAGGACTGGCTGTGGCCACTCCCACTTGGAGAAAACCAAGAAGAATTTGTGGACCAAGGTGGCAGCTGCAGCATTTGGATACAGCTGACAGGTACGTGCCACCAACATAGCCCACGAAACTCCACCAAGGTAGCCAAGTACATTGCTATATATCCCATGACCTATGAGGAAAAAAATTATTTGAAAAACCGCAGGACCAAAGTGTAAACAATCTTGAACATCACAATCCTATTCATCTTTACGTTTTGCCCAGAGTCTAATGGCTCTTAATGCCAATCTGAAGCTCTCAGGGTTTGGAACCAGGCGGAGAATCTCATCAGTCACACGGCACCCATTCAAGCTTCTCACACACTTAGGGTCCAGGTTTTTCAGAAGATTGTCTTCTCTCAAATCCTATGATAATGAAAATAATTTATCAGAAATTGGAAGGGAAAAAGAAAATTCCTGATATCAAGAAACTGCAGCACTAAAAAGTTCAGTACAGTACCTGAGCATCGCTTATCTCCTTCAAAGCTAGTCGTGCAAATAGCATGTCAAGTTCGATCCCCTCCCATTTCATCTTGATCACAGGTACATAGGCATCTTCAACAGCCTGGAAGAAAGAATAAACATATTAGGTCATGATGAAAGAAATGTTGAACTGGGCAAGGTACATACACATCTAAATTATACAACTCTGGAAATAATATGACTGTATCAAAATCCATAAAATTTTTGGAAAGCTTAAATCATGATATTCAGAAAGATGAGTAAGATTCAACTGACTCTGAGATCAGTAGCCTGAGGCTTCTCCTTCAGCATCTCAAAAAATGAACCAAAAAAGTCGGACCGGTCCACATGGCGTGGAGCAACACACAATGTATCAATGTCAGCTCCTTTGGTATGCACCCCTAGCCTGTAGGAACCAAATGTATAGATCTTCCCTCCCATTGTCTCTGCAACACTTGGAGGCATGTTCTTCCTCAGGCTCACATCCCTGATCCATTCTTTGACTAGAGCATTCACACTGCTCAACACCTCCAACCTAAAACAGGAATCCGCAGTCTTAAGTTTTTTAATTTGTCATTTCATATTTTAACCCTATAAATACTAAGAATTAATTAACTTGAATGTAGTGTTGTGGCTCTTATTAGCACACTTCTCCAATTACTTCTTAAAAAGATTTTTCAGGACAATTTTCACCAGTTCGGTTTTATGCTTACATAATAAGGTAAATGAGGGAATATATTTTTTCGTAAGTGAAACACACTACACTGCAAACTGCACCAGAAGCAAAAATCTTTTCACAGATATGTGTGAAGGAAGTGAATAAAATAATTTTTACTATATCCTTTCAAAAAGTTCTCTCTTTTCCTTGATAATAATACTAACCTTTGGGCCAATTCTTCTTCGCTTTCATACACGTCATATTCCCGTAATATGTCCTCCAGCTCTTTGGTCCGCTGCAGATCTGTTGGTTTGGGGCCAGCCAAACTTATTGCCGAGGTGAGACCTAGAGTCTTCTGACCACCAGTAACTGGAGAATCCCCTGGTACATTCATGGAGGATACCTGATTCATGTTGGGAATGTTTAAATACACTTCCACTGATCCAAAAGGCTTGCTATGAGATGTTGCAATGGTTCCTCTCAGGTGAAGGGAGCACCCAAAAGAAATAATCAACTGGAGAGTATACCCAGACCTTATCCAGTTACTAAAATAATACAATGGACCTAGCCCTGGCCTAGTGTTCAACCATCATGAACTGGCCTCATGCTATGGTCCAACATTACCTTTGACACATTGTGACCTAAAATAAAAGAGCAAATCATCAAGACTTAGCAACTTCGCCATCTGTGACACATCTTCACCTATACAAAAGTTTTCAGATCTAGCCTAGACCAATTTTATTTCATAAATTTGGCTGAATAGCCCTTGGAGCCCTAGGCAAGAAATGAATGTTTACAAATGTAACAGATTTAAACTATTGCTTATAATGCTCCAATGCAGACTTGTTATTGACAGATCTCAAATGTCAAAATAGCCACCAGCACGTGTTAGACCAAATGACAGCCAACTGTGAACTGCTATACAGTAAACTGAGACTGAGTTTGAGCATTTTTCCCACTAAGTATTGAATTGAATAGAAATGGGAACTGGAGGAAGATATCCTTAAATGGATGAAAGGAATGGAGAGTCAATAAATAGTGGCACCTACTTCATGATATTAACAAGTTTAGGTAATTTTCACTAACTGTAGCTTAGCTAACCAAGGAAACCATGGACTCCAGTCTCATTTCTTCTTGCTACTTTCTCTCCACTTCAAAGCTGCTTTCTCTACTCCTATGACTAGAAAAGTAAACATGTCTACCAAGTCAGTCTCACCCAACCTTTTCAACTCTACTCCATCCTGTTCTTCACAAGAATCATCTTCGTATCTGTAGACAGTTGCTAAACATAGGTTTGCATGGAATCCATCAGAGAGGAATGGGGTTTCCATCATATGCAACAAGGTGCATGCACATGTGACATCCCCTAAATCAGGGAGGGTTTTTTCTTTACTATCCTTAATTTATTCACATCATTTGCTCAGGCACACCCCCTTCCAATCCAAAGGGAAAGAAACTGAAGAACTTCCATGTTTTTGAAGTGGGAAGGTACAGCCCAAAATGCATAGCTACAACTCCAAAACCTAGTATGTGATAACTGATAGGGATTTTCATATCTGAAATCTACATATGGAACATCCAGCTGCTGAACTGTAAAATTAGTCCAAGGCTATTTCAATACCCCAAGGTGACTACTTGAAATTTGTGAGAATGCTTCCTTTTGGCCCCTTTGCAGTCTGTACTTCCAGGCAGAGTGAAAGGAAATGTAAATTTTTTACTTTTCTTAACTTTTCCAGTCCAGAGGAATCCTGACATTTCATGTTTCTCTCGTGAGTCTTACGTTCAGCATCATCTGACACAGGCCTGGGCTAGCAATAACTTTGTGTTGGGGAGACCTGACAGGACCCATCAGAGAAATAATGAATCTCAGGCTCCCCCACAGTGGGCCACAAAGGGTTAATATGCTATAAAAGCAGACATCCTTATAGCTACACGAGCTGGCCTTGTATGTTCCTGGCTGCCTGGGCAGGTGTCTGTATATTCCCTTTAACTTTTCAACAAAAATACCCCGCACAGTGCTGCTACTCACAGCTTCCTAGCGTATGCTATAGTAGCTCTACGTTAGACAGTAACATCTAACGTTAGATTCAAGGTTTGCCTGAGTGGGTTAATTCGTCTTACAGAACTCTTCAAAGTGGCTAGCGCCTAGACCTGTTTCCACGACATGATAGCCTAACATCAAGTTTATGCTAGGATACTATTGGTGATTGAACATTGAGCTTAGGCGTAACTGATGGCCCTAGCAAGGGCCCCAATGTTCAGCTACTCCTATTGTGAAAGCATGCCGCAAGCATGCACCTTGACTGGAATGGTTCTCATTTGAGAGAAACTAATCCATCCCAAAAGTGGACACTCCTCACAAGATGTACGAAGTGTATAAAGAACGGGGTCAAACGAAGAGAGCCAACAGCCAGGAAAAGTGTGTCTGCTTGACGCTGAGCAACACGCATGAAGGACGCCATGACTCTGCTTCAGCACCTTCGATTCTGCCTCCCTCCAATATTGTTGCACCCAATGGGGTGAATGGGTAAATGAAAGCAAATGATATTCCCTGTTCCTCTCTGCCTGTCGAATGCCTAAAATGATACAGCAGGAATGAAAGTATACCATAAATTACTTCAGTTCTGACATTGACCAAAAACTTCTTGTTTTCTCACTCAGGTTGTTCTCCAGTGCTCTCTAACCCCTTCCAGAGGATTACTCTCCAGTCAATGAACCCAGTGAAGTTCAGACGAGATCGGAAATCCCCAAATCCCCCAAAACCGAGTGAATGAACTTACACTGCTCTTCCATGGAACATCACTATTTCTTTCTGACCCCTCTCTGAAATTATTCGTCCATTTAATGGCCCTTGGGAGAAAAGTGATTGGAAGTCCTGACTAATGCCCCTGTAACGATGTTTACATGTTTGTCAATTGTGTATATAGTTGCACAGTGTTTTTTTTTTGTAACCCAGACCCATGAACATGTGTATTTATTTGGATTGACGTGAGATGGCGCCTCTGGCGCTGCGTTATTTACCACGATCTAAACCGGTGACTTATTATGTCTAATATCTTATTTGTGGAGGGAAGGATGGGTCCCCGTGTACCACCCTTATTGTCGGGAGTCAGGAATGTTTCCTCCGGTATCCTGAAAGAAGTTGTTTAGAAGTTAAGCGCGAGGGAATAGTGTACACCCCCTAGGGAGGTACAGCCGAGCGGGCTTGACTACCCGAGCAGGACCTTGTTTCGGAGAGCTGTGGAGAGCTGAGGACAGCATTCTCAAACCGAGGCAACGAGGTTCTGTATCCTCTACGCTCTCCTGCCGAATTACCGTCTAGGCGGTAAACTTGCCCGGATCGGGTAATGTCCCTGTCCTCTTTGTCCGCGTTCGCGTCTGGCAATCGCAGTCTGTATTTGGTTCATGTGTACTAAGCTTTCTTGGTCGTGACATTCCTTTGCATTGCGACGGGCCGGATTGCCCTGATTGGTCTGGTAAAGAAACTCGGTCGTGTTGTTGAAACCAGTGGCTCGCATTAAAGTTTGGCTGTGGTCCCCTATCCGCGCTCCTGAGTTTCGTTGGGGTTCACCCCGATCCTAGAGCCTCCTGTACGGCTACGGTTATCCCCGGTGTCGGCATCCGGTCTGCGGACTGGAGGGCGGATCTCGCCAGTACCCCAACGTGCCGGATTCAGTACTCCGGAATGGTGGTCGGACGAGACAGGCCGCCAAGACCGTCACACCCCTATAGAGAGATCTAGCTCCAGCAAAGAATTTGCAATACCGACCGGGTCGGCTGTGTCTATGGAGTCGATTGCCCGAGCTTTGAAGGTTCAAGAAACCAGGAACCTATTCCTTGTAATAGGCAGGGAAAAAAAGTTGAACCCCGTTTGCTGCATAATTCATTTTAGTCACCGGTGCCTGACAATTACCTGTTCGCAGCACAATAATTAATGCTGAAAGCACATAATGTGCGTTTATGGTCTCATCCACATAAAGTTTTATTTGCAATTTCTCATCGAAGGTCGACTTGCAAAGAAAACTTTAGTGGTGAGAATGTCTTCGAAAGTTTTACTTACAAGGTTTTTTCTTTTCGAGACATCTTTCCCAGAGACTTTCAAAAAGTAGAAAGGTTTCAGCGTCGAAAATGGAGTGGGACAGGGAAAAGACAGCCGAATCGATTGATAAACAGCGAAGAGTGCCTTCGGAACGTGAGAAGTTTCCTGCCGAAGGACGAGAAAAGAGACGGAATTGGGATTGGCGGAAGTGCAAAATTCGGAATCTGGAGCAGAAAGTGGACGAATAAAAAAAGGATCGAGAGAGATGCTGATTTTTTTTTTTCGGTCCGCTGCAGAAATGCATCGAGCGGGTAAAATTGTTTCCACTCGCTGAGAATCTCAGAGTGATCGACAGCCGAAATGGACTCACGAGAGCGAGTGTCCTTTTTTTTTCGGAATAAAAAGGTCCAACTCGCCTCAGAAGTTCCTGCCGTTGCCACACGTTTTCTTCGCGAAGAATTTTTCGAATAACTTTTCGGAAAGGGGACGACGCTCTGCCGAAGGGAAAACCTTGCTGGAAAAACTGCCAAAGACGTCTCCACCGTGAAAGTTTTCTCTGCAAGTCGCCTTACAGAGAAAATCGCACAGAAAATTTTTTGGTGTGTGAACGAGCCTATACACTCGAAAGATGATACAATTAGATAAGACAAAAAAAAACATGAGCGTTGACAGAAGTTGACAGCTATTTGCAACGGAATCTATTATCTAAATCTATTAAAATCTGGAGGAATCACACGAAGGGGGACAATATTGGAATGTTATTTCATGGTGAATTCAGAATGTCGATTTTCATGTCCTCTGCAAAGCCAGGCTCTCATTAAAAAAAAGGGCGTTTTACGGGCTCAAGTATCAGGCTGGCCAGACAGTCGCCCGGGTTCTCAGGGTTCTCTTCGCTCCATTTTCTCCTGTTCCGTCGGGTGTCAGAGGGCCTGGAATGCGATGGACGATCGCGTGGCGGCTTTCTCTTTCTGTTGCCGTCTGATAGATGCAGTTTTAATTCGCACGTTCGCTCGTTTTCGTGCAGGCTTTTATGCAAATCTATTATGTAAATGTTCGCCCAGCGTGAAGCTCCCTCAGAAGCATCGATTCCCGATACGACCTCGAGTGAACGCAGCGAGCCTGTGACCTTCCACCCCAAATCTGTGACCTCTCTCCTCATTTCCCTCTCCCCAGTCGCCTCCGGTCACCAGGCTCCCCAAATGCACTAGTGCGCTGTGGGGGAGGGGGGGGGGGGGGGGGGGGGGGGGGGGGGGGGGGGG